GTGGCTTAGTATGGGGTCTAGGCCAGAGCACATAAGCAAGAGGGGCAGTTGCTCAGGGATCAGTGTGGGCACAATTGTGTGATGAAAGGGGGCAGTGGGCCAGCCTCTGCCCAGAGAATCAGAACAGGGCGCCCAGCACTCTGAAACATGATCCTCAGTGCTGGCCAAAAGGAAAGAGCTGGCTTTGAAAGAAGGGGGCTTCAGAGGCCTGTGAGGGTGGGGGAGGACATTTTTGCGGGGGAGGGGAGAGAAGGGGCAAAAAATGTTTCAAGTCCCCTCTGTAGAACTTCTGGACTTTGCTGCCACCTGGTGGACAGAATTTAGAAGGCAGGGTTGTGGCTGCCCTTGGCCAAAGATTGGCATCTCATCCTGGGCCTTAGGATAGTACTTCTTTCTGCGTCTTAAGTGGGAGGTTCTACCAGTCACGTGGAAGTGAATTCCTACGCTCCCATAGTCCTTGCTGTCTATTCATGATGCGTCCCTCTGCCAAGAGTTTAGTTCTCTTTACAGACAGGGTCACAGGAGGTGGAATCGAATAGGGGAGACCCAGCCAGGATCAGGATAGTCCATCCCAGTTGTGTCCAGAATTCATACGCTTCCCCAGGGGAGGAGCTCAAAGCTGTGACTTGAGGAAGGAACTCCATGCAAAGGAGCTTGGGAATGTGCAGGGGCGACGGAGAGGGGGCAGCAGTGGGAGAAAAAAGGACACGCAGGTATGGGACGTAGAGGTCTGAGTGCAGCCTGGTGGGGGCAGGGACGTCAGCCCCCACTGGCCTAATGGTGAGTGACCAGCTCACTTCGCCCTGCCCTTCCCTGACATGGGGACAAGAAGGATAAAGGCCTCTCCTCCACTTTCCGCTGGGAGAAGTTCTCACCCCTTCAGAGGGTGACGTGAGCAGACCGAGGAGGGGCTGATACTCCAGCCTCATCACTTCCCGGGCTTTTGCCCCATGTTGGGAGCATGGTGCCCACAACAGCTATGAGCCAGGTACTAATATGATCCCCATTTTTCAGATGAGAAGGTGAAGGCACAGAGAAGTTAAGTACTTGTCTGAGGTTTCACAGCTAGCAGGTGGTGGGGCCAACATTCAAATCTGGGGTAGCCCACTCTGCACGGCACTCATCCCCAATAAACGGACCCCAATAAATGGGTTGCAAAAGGAATGGGAATAGCCAAGCTTCAGGTGTCCTAGATCTGGGCTCCCTCCTGACTCAAGCTCCGATAGTGGAAATTGAGGCCGATCTCTCCTCCCTGGTCTGCCCCTTCCCAACCTAGATAAAGGTCTCTCTTTAAAGCCTTCTAGGAAATGAGATTCCATTCTTTCCCTTTCAGACTCCCAATCTAATTCATGTCAGGAATATGAGTGTCAGAAAGTTCTTCCTACAGTCTAACCTCCCACCTCCTCCTGCAAGTCAAGCCCGTTTATAAGGTCCCAGACAGAAGAGAGAGGATGTGGCTTCTGTTTCAGAGAGGGGTATTCTTGTCTCTGAAATCAGGGTTTCATTCTCTAACCATGACAGTCAGGGCTGGCCAATCACAGGCCTTAATGGGAGAGCTTAAATTATAGAGGACCAAGTTAGAGAAAAGACGAAAAAAAAAAAACCCCAATAAACCCACCCCACTCCCAGTCACTGGAGCTGCAGCTGAGAGGTAATTATCTGCCGTGGGTGTGCGCCGTTAGGGCTCAGGATCCTGACGTCAAGGGCGGTCAGCGTGGGCCGAGGGAGAAGGCCACTGAGTTGGTGTCAGGTCAAGACAATGGTGTGGGGCCCGTCCAGACCCTTCTTGACTTCTTCCCCCCTCTTCCATCCCTCCACTCCCCTCCAGTCAGGGGAGGAGCTGCCCTCCCTTGCCCAAGTCCCCTCCCCAAACACTCAGAGGAGAGAGGAGTGATTAGCATGGGGCATTGTCCCCGGATAATGGGCCCCAGCTGCCGCCTGAAAGGAGAGACAAAGCGCCTGGCCGCTCCTCAGGCATTATCCCCTCGTTAAATCTCTGTTATTAGATTAGATTCAAAATGTATTGATTCAGAGGTTGGGGGGAGATGGGGGGGAGGGGAATCTGGCTCAGGAACGCTGAACCACACCTCCCCCTCCTTTACCCCACAGGCAACTTTCCCTCCCTCCTGTTCTCTCAGGGAAATCTCCCCTAAGCCCGGATCCTGACTCTGAGCTCAGCTACTCTCCCTGGACCATCCTTAAAGCCAGGAATGTCCACTCCTGCAAGGGCCCTGAGGTCGTTGAGCACAAGTTGCCGTCACCCAGTAGGAAAGGCAGGCTCCCAGGATGGTGGCAGCGGGCTCCACAGCTTGGAGGACTACAGATGGCCAGAGGCTTCAGGCTGGGCACTTTCAAGACCTTTAATGGAATCTTTTGAGTAGAAATGACAGGTTTGGAAAGCAAGGTGGATGGGGAAAAGGAGGTGAGGACTGGGAGTATTCATCGGTGACTAGAGTAGGCTGCGGGAGAGGAGTGGAGATGAGCTAGAGAACGGCAAGCTTCTTGGAAGCACTTACAAAGACGTGGGTGGTTTCTGGTTCTCTCTCTCTGCAGGAGGAGGGAAGGAGATAACAGAGGGGAGGGAGATTCTGGGTGTTCTCATATCCCAGACAGGTAAAGGTCTCCTTGGGAGAAGCCCAGGACCAGTATTGATGGACAAGAGTGAGTGCACTGGGGGATTCTCTGGCCCCGGGCCTCGGTTTCCCACCCCTGGGCAGCACAGCCTGGATGCCGGATCGATGAGCTGATTGGCTGTGGCTAGTGGAGCAGAGGATGTTATACGTGGCAGCTCATTCCTGAGGTGGTTAATTGGCTGCCTCAGTGCTGGGCTCTGTTGCCCCATTGATTGTGGGCGAAGGGTGGGGCGGGGGAGATGAGGAATCAATAGGTTGATTAGTGTCTTACTAGCTCTCTGGTTGGACACTTTGTCAATAGCCACCCACTTACTCACTAGTGGTGCATCGGCAGTGCCACACTGTCCACCTTTCTCTCTCTCTGGCCTGAGACATGAGAATCATCTAGTAGCATGAATGGCCCCAGCAAATCCCAGTGGAGTGGGGCAGCTTTTGGACCCAAGACCAGGCTCCAAAGTATGGGGTGTTGGGACCATCCTAAGAGAGTGGAGATGAACAATCCCTGTCTTTAGTGTTTAGCCCAATCTCTGCTCAGCAGGAGGCAACAGCTGTGAATGAGGCCAATCCGCAGCCCCACAGTCTCCTGCTTTTTTCTGGGAGGCCCTGATACCTACCCATCAACAAAACAAAGATACATATAAAATCCCTAACTAATAGCAAAAACACGTGTGTCTGGGTGGAAGTAGCGGATGAAACCTCATTCCCAGTTCACCTGAGGAACTAGCAGTCAATATTTACTGAGTTCTTGCTGCATGCTGGGGAAGCTGGGGTGAGGAGAAGCTGAGAGATGCTACACCAGACAAGTACCATTCCTTAGCCTCTAGGCTCTTTCTGACATGAAGCTCTCAAGGGCCCAAGGTCTCCCCACCACCCAGCCTCCTGGGATGGTCTACGAACTAGAAATGCAGAGTTTGGGGTCAGGAAAGGTATAGCTTCAGGTGTTCTATACTGAACCCCTTATAATTGGCCAGCCTGGAACAACTTGTCCCAGATATTCCTTTTGGGTCCCATCCCTTTAGCCTGGCAGCGTTCAGTCCCAGTCCACTATGCCTTCTTCTGAGTGACAGGCAGCCCAAGGCAGGGAAAGGGATAAGGCTGGAATGAGAAAGGGAGAACCAAAGCCTCAGGCAAATGTGGCGGACACTAACACAGGTCACTCTTGGTGGGTTCTGGCATCCTTTTCCTCTGAATGCTTGTTAGGTGGATGGAGTGATAGAGTTGGGGTGCTCCTCAGCTTGTCTTAAGCCCTGATGACTGGGAGAGGGGGCCAGGATATGAGAAGTAAGATCAAAGGCCACACTCCCAACTCTGCCTCTCTCATGGTCCTTCTTCTGGTGGATATGCCAGGGGTTGGCTGCCGAAAGTTCCCAAAGGAGATAAACTCAAGCCTTAGCTTTCGCTGTCTTCCAAACACCAAACCAGCTGGTGCTGGCCATGGTGCTAATGTTCTTGTCTCCCTTGCAGGATCCTCTTGCAGGGAGAGAGCTTGCTCCCAGCTTCGCAGAGAGACCGTGAGCCCAGAATGATAACAGGACTGTGTGGACACTTCTAGCATCTTTCCAGGGGTCACAGAACTGAGCTTCCCCCTCCCCACCTCTCCATTGCTAAGCATTCATGGCCCTGACCCTCCCACCTTAAATTCCACCTCCTATTGTTTCTTCTTCATAACAGCCACTATTTGGTCACTTCCCAGTTCCCTGAAAGGGGAAGCACTGAACAACTGAAACCACAGATAATTCCCCAATCTCATTTCCACCAATAACTTTAAACCTCTTCTTCCACCCACCCAGCTGCTGACAAACGGTCAAGAAGAGAGATTAGAGCTTCATCGCATTTTATTACCCCCACCCACCCCTACCCCACCATCTGATAGAACATGAGTGTTCAGGGAAATGGCCACAGGTGAGGCGAAGGAGACATTAAGGTTGGATGAACCTGAGGCAGAGTTATCAGCCCTGTGTAGTAGTGTTGTTTGCCTTCAGTCTGAAAACGAGGTTGAGGGAGATGAGCAGAATTCCAAAGTGTCTTATTCAGGGAAGTGCCAATAGGGAAATCGAGGTTTGATACATAGAGAAATAGAGTGAAGTTAGGGAATGCATGGTTCTTTCCTGATCTAAGACAGCATGTTTTAAAGCCATGACGGGCGGGTGGGAGAGGACTGGAGGATGTAAGGGTCTTGAACACCAAGTCTTTCGGAGAAGAGTTAAGGCCCAGTTTCAGGGTTGCTGAGATGAACTGGCATTGAAAACAGAGATGGAACTGTATATGTGTCTTGAGAACATCCCTGGTATCCCCTGGGCTCTGAAATTCCCCCAACCCCATCCTAACCAGCGCCGTTAACCACCACTGCTACCACCACCACCGTGCTGGGTTGTACCCGCTCAAGAATACTGCCAGATGGACCAGAGCGTGACCAGGGTGATGCTGTAGGCCAGCACTGCCAGCAGGTAGAGGCGGAACAGCAGCCTGTCCAGCACGGAGCCCACATACAGCCAGTCCCGGGCCACCTCTCGGCTCTCCTCTCGCTTCTCCAGGAAGTGCCGGATGGAGGCCAGCTCTTGCAGCAGCCCACGCACCGCCAGGGAGGCCTCCCGTGGTGGTGGGGGAGGGCTGCCTCTGCCCCTTGGGGTCTTCTCACAGTCCTGGGGTCCTCCCAAATGGCTGCAGTGGTTTCCCATGTCTGGAAGAAGGGCAGAGCATTGGCAAGGGAGGGAGGCTTAGCCGGCTGGCTGAACACTATCCCTTATGTTTCCGTGGCCTGCAGAAATTTTTATTATGAACGATTTCAAACATAAAGAGCATAGAGAACAACTTACATATTTGCATACCCAGCATCCGACTTAAGCAAATAAAGAAAGCCAATACAATTGAAGATTCCTGTATACTCATCCATAGTCACAGCCTCCATCCCCTTCCCAGGTCACCAAGACCATGAATTTGGTGTTTGTCTTTCCCATGCATTTTTTTTTTAACCCATGGGCTTTTCCCAGCAATTTGATATCTATTATTTCATTTGAGCCTCACAAAAGCCCCATGAGAGAGGCAAAGTGGGAGTGATCCTCTCTGCACTTTTTAAGTAAAGGTGCTAAAGCTCAGAGCGGTTAAGTGACTGGCCTATAGTCACACAGCTGGAGCATCATTTAATAGTGATGCCACCAAGGCCTAGGTATCTGCACTTTGAATCCCCTGCTCTGCTGTGTCACATTGCCTCACTGCCCTCCTCTCCGTGACTCCAAGTCCCCCCTGCACCAGAAAATACACCTTCAGATATGGCTCCCTTGACCAGGTGAGCAGTGAAATTAGGCACTAGGCTGGTGTACTGGTTCAGTAGCTATGATAAGAAAGTCTTAGATTAACCAAACATTTTCTGCAGAAGGCCTGGCCCTAGCCAGAAGGGAGGATAAAAGGGAGTGGAATGGGATGAAGGGGTTAAAAACACTAGCTTAGAGGCAGATGGGCCTGGCTGGTTTCAAATCACGGTGTCACCAGTTCCTGGCTCTGTGACTTAAGGCAAGCTGTCTGGCCTCTGCTGTTTCCTCACTTGAAAAATGAGAATCCTATTGGGTCGCCGTGAGGATTACCTGTGAGAATGCACAGAAAATGCTTTGCACTAGCCTGCCTCAAGCGCTCGACACATCAACCACCAACCAACCACAGCCCCCCCACCAACAACTGATGCAGCTGTGACAGCTCCTCCGGGGGCGTGAGCTCCACACTAAGGGCCCCTCTGAACCCTGTCTCTCTGCCTCATAGGTGTTTGAAATCTAAGGGCCCCGGTCTTTGAGCTGATTAGAGTGAGAGTTTTGGAAATCCTGGCTGCAGTATTTAACTAGGTGAGGCAAGGAGTCCAGTGGGCATCCATTTCACCCACTATTGGGTCCATCCCAGAGAGAGGCCACTCTCAACCCAGAGGTCTCAGCTCCTGACATGCTCAGCCTCTGGGACTCCTACTCCCTCTCCGTCCACACCTGGGAAGTGAAGGTGAAGCAAGGGTCCAATTGACACCTTTGGCTGAAGTCTGCCCCTCCCAATGAGGCCAGGCGTGGGGCGCCGTGTGTAGGACAGCACCTGGTTCCCAGGCCCTGCCTGGGCTCTCTGGCATGCCACGGCCTCCAGAGACTCATCACCATGTCCCTGCATCCAGGCCAAAAGGGGTCCCTTTGTATGGGACTCTCTCTTTCCCTTTCTCACCTGAGCAGTCATCAGCCTTGGTGGCTTGGGAGGTGGCTGCAGGCCTTCGGGAGGTTGGCTGCTCCCCTAGGCAGAGGAGCAGGGCGACTCTCTCCAGAACCAGATGCCGCAGCCAGGCGGGCACGGGCTGCTGCAGGTCCTGCTTGTGTACCAGCCGCACGATGAGGATGGTCTCGGCCAAGCTTATCACCAGCAGAGCCATGCACACGACAAAGTAGACACCTGTGCACCCCGGGGCAGGGTGGGGGACACACACAGGAGGTGGGAAGGGGCCGGTCCTTGGGTCCCTCGGCCACACTGAGCTCTTCCCCAGGAGTGGGCCTTACCAATGAGGGGAGTGCCGATGGCGGTGGCCGGCAGTGTGTCAGACACGATGATCAGGAAGACTGAGTAGCCCAGGAGTAGTGTGATCTTGAAGGAGACCCTCTCGCCACTGTCCGGGGGCAGGTAGAAGCCCACGATGTCCATGACCATGAGGAAGATACTGGGAAGCAGCAGGCTGACTGCATAGAATAGGGGCCTCCGGCGGATGACCACCTGAGACGAGGAGAGAAGCTGAGGGGGACCCTGGGGCAGACAGGTTCTGCACCCAGGAGCCACCACCCCATCCCAGACACCCTGCTTCGTGGAGCTTTCAGCCTGAATCCTCAGAGAAGGAAATGGACAGAGCCCACACTCTGTCTCTGGATCCAGGCTTGTGGCTGTTCAGCATAAGTAAGGGGCGATTCAGCTGGGTTTCATGCAAGTTCTAGGGGATAGGTGTGACCCAAAATGTTCTTCCCCATAGGCCTCCTTAAGTCTACCCCGGAGCAACGGCCTAGTGGTTCTATCCATCGTGTCGCCCGCATCCACTCCCCATCCCACTCACATAGAACTTCATTTCTGCATAATAGTTGCTGCTTTCGAGACTGAACTTCTGAAACTGGGGCAGCACCCCCAGAAGCTCCCACTCGCCCTGGTTCATGAACACGCTCTTGTCAAACTTCACTTTTTCCGGTAAGCGCCACAGGGTGATGTTGATGTCCTGGACTGAGAGAGAAGAAATCAAGCCAGCTCTGGAATCTAGTGCCAGGGGCGTGCCAGATCCGGGGTGGGCCACACCCACGTGACTTAGCTCATCTCAGCTCTTGATCTTCAGCCTTAGTTTCCTCAGCTAAGGTAATAGTACACACTGTCTCTATCTGTACAGTGGGCCGTGGTGAGGGAAATGAAGTCTTGAATGAAAACACAGCAAAAATCAAAGAACCAGATAAACCATTTATTAGAAAGCCCTCTCTCTCTTTCGCTTACAGACAGACAGACACACAGACACACACACGCACACACCCCTTCCAAACACCTTTCTAGGTTTCCCTGTTAGAATTACCCATTTAGGAAATGACCAAAAGTCAGCATTCTTCACCTTTGCCTTCACAGAGTCGCCTATCTTTAAAGATGAATTAGGAAAATCAGCAAAATCCTCACAAAATAGCAGTTTCATCTCTCTGTACCTATACTAGAGACTCATATACTCAGGCACCAGGAGGATGGGTGTCTCCAGTGCAGCGAAATATTAGGAAAGATCTAAATGTCCATCCATCAGGAAAATGCTTAATAAACTGTGATGCAGCCAAATGATGAGCTATTCTCCAGCAGTCAGAATTCATGAGGAAGATCTAAATATGCACTAACTTGAAATGTCCAAGACCTGTTGTTGAGTAAAAAGAATCAAATAGCAGTAGCATAAATGATACATTTATGTAAAATAAAAACCTATAAAATAATTTCCATGTATTTTCCATAGATGTGTGTGTACGTGTATATGTGCAAATGACAGAGAAGGATCTGGAAGAACATGCTATATGAAGTTTATGATAAAAGTTGTCAAGACTTGGTGTGGAGAGTTGTTGGTGAAGAGTTTGGGATTGAGGGTAAAGGTCAAATGTCAAAGACTGTAATTCTGATTTTTGTTCAAGGAAGTTATGTATTACCCTTGTAATGTACAGTTAATGCAATAAAATCAGAATAGAAATGGAGGATGCCTTTTTGCAGGAGGCTAATGCTCACTTCCCTAGACCATCGTGAGCACTGAGCATTCATCCACTCAATAAAAGTTTGCCGAGCACCTTCCTTTGTGCCATGCACTGCACTGGGATCTGATGGTGGGTCAGAAATCGTGTTCCTGCCCTCTCTAAGTTTACATCTGGAAGAGAAGTAGACATTGACCAAGTACTTACAAGTGCAACAGAAGTGGGGAGAAGAACAGGATGCTATAAAATTGGGCAACGGGGATGCCTAGTCTGGGGGATGAGAGGGGGTTTCCCTGAGGAACTGACACTGATGCTGTGATTAGAAGGTGAGTAGAGGAGTCGGCCAAGCTAGGTGTGGCTGGGGCAGGAGTAAGGCAGGAAGGGGAGCAGGGGAGGGAAGAGGAGGGGGCAAAGTGGCCTAGGAGAGGAGGCAGCATATGATAAAGGGAAATAACAAGGGTCTTGGGGGTCTGGGAAGGAAGGCAGCTGGGCTGGAGCAGAGCCCAGGGGAGTGTGCATGAGATGAGGATGGACAGGTGGGCTGTGGGCAGGACCAGACTTTGCAGGGCCCTATCTGCCCTATCCAGGTGAAGGACTTGGATTCTGTCTCAGGAGTGCTGGGAAGCCATTGAGGGTTTAAGCAGAGAGTGATATGATTAGAGCTGCATTTTAATAAGATCTCCCCAGTTGCTGGGAGGAGCATGACTTGGAGGAGGACAAGAATGAATGAGGGGGACCAACTGGGAGGCTGCTGCAGAAACCTGGGCAGGAGATGAGGGTAGCTTGCATTAGTGGGGAGGGTGCATCAGTGGAGAAGAGAGGTGGGTGGATTTGAGAGACACTTAGTGCCAGATCCTGTTTGTGATATTGGAAAGAACTGGCCCCTACTGAGCATCTTGCCATCATTCACACTGTCTCATTTAATCCCTATGACAACTGAAGGAGGTGACAAGGGCAACAATATTAGTCTCATTTGGAGGACGAGGAAACAGAGGCTCAGCAGCATTAAAAAAATAAGTGATAGGGGCCACCCCCGTGGCGTAAAGGTTAAGTGCGTGTGCTCCACTGCTGGCCGCCCCAGTATGGACCCCCTGCGCGCACCTACGCACCGCTTGTCCGGCCATGCTGAGGCCGCCTCCCACATAAAGTGGAGGAAGATGGGCACGGATGTTAGCCCAGGGCCAGTCTTCCTCAGCGAAAAGAGGAGGATTGGCTTGGATGTTAGCTCAGGGCTGATCTTCCTCACACACACGAAAAAAAAGATAAAAAAAAAAAAGTGATAAGTTGAATAAGGGACAATGCATCCTAGGGTGTGCGCCTCACTCAAGTGTCCCAGGGACCCCCGATCTGGGTGCGCCCCCGCCCCCCTGAAGCCCATATACTCACTGGTGTGCAACCAGCTGGTGAAGGTCAGTGAGCAGTTCTGCACGTCGAAGGGGAAGTTGTAGATGTCCAGGCTGCAGGCGGTCACAACCTGGAGGGGCTTGTAGTTCTGCACCTCACCGCCATGCCGGACATACACGTACGGGATATTCGGAGACTTCCCCACATCCACACTGGCCGGGGAAGAGGTGTCAGTGTCGGGGCTCAAGGAGCAGGTCAAGCCCTGGGAGTCTGAAGATCCCTGACCAACCCAGCAGGGAGAGAAATTTGGAGAGGGTCTGGGCAGCAGGACAGTCCTCACAGTTTTGTCTGGCCTCAGTTTTTCCAACCTTCTTGTCTCTCTTAGGCTTCCTTACTCGTCATTGTCAAGGCTGCTTTCCAAGCAGTAAGGGGCATTTCTCCTTGATTCCCCTGGCAGCCTAGCCACAAAAGGCGGGCAAGGAAGCCGTGTACCCCAAATCCACTGCTGTAAGGAGCATGCCCAGCTGTCCCTACATTGCCACCCACCCGGGCTGGGCAGAGGTCGGCTCCCAGGGTTACCAGCCCAGTCACAGTGGGCAGGCTTGGTAGGAGAGCAGACCCTTGGGTCCCATCCTGGTTCAGGCTTTTCTTTGCTCCCCATCCCTAGAAGTCCTGTGAAATGGGAATAATCATCTGTGGAGGAAAAGGAACTGGAGAAATCGTCAAGAAGAATTGGGGAAAGTCCTACAAGACCTCATCCCACTCTCTCAGCAGATCCCAGACCCCTAGGCTCTCCCAAGTAACCACTGTGACATGGAGTGGCCTGAGCCCAGGGTCCTGAGCCTGCAGCCTTCTGGGGAACCAGGTGAGAGATGAGAAGTCAAGACTAAGGCTGCTTCACTGTTGAACTGGAGATCCAGCCAGAAACTGAAATTTCCCTAAATCCCTCCAGCCTGAGCTATGCAGGGCATGGGCTCCAGGTCAACCACCTCCCCTGAAAACAATAGTACCCCATGGGGTTGGGCAATGCATTGGGTACTGGGCGGAAAGTGACTGGTCCCAGGCCACCTTCTGCTTCCATCTTTCCCCCAGCCATCTTCCCTGTCCTTGCATGCAGAAGCCCAGGCAGTGAGGCTGAAGGAACCTGAAGGATGGGGAGACGGTATGTTGGCTGGGGCCGAATGAGGCAATGTCTGACTGCTGAGAGTAAAGGCTGGTGGGACCTACTTCATATTGAGGGTGTAATTTGTGGCCAGTCAGGCACATGTGTGACTTGAGAGGTTTGAGTGTCTCCCAGCACCAGCTCTCCCCTGTGACCAGGAGCAGTGGCCACAGCTGGCCCTTCATTCCTTTCAGTAACAGTACTGTCCCCTTTAAAATGCAGCTGTCCTTCATTTGGCTATTATAACAGTGTGAATTCATTCACTGGCTTCCTTTCCCCAGGAAGGAGCCCTTGGACCAAAAGGTATAGAGTTTCAACATCAGGCATAGAAAAGAGGAGTTTTAAAAAAGTAAAAGGGGGGAAAAAAAAGCAAAGGGCAATTTGGGCCCAAGTCAACTTGGCCTACAGTTCTGCACATCTGGGTGGGACATCTCAAGAGCAACAGCAATAACCTTGTCTCCCTGCTCCCTGCCTTCCCAGCCCCTCAGCCACCCGGCGGCCCAGCATCTAAGAACAGTACTCACAACTCGTTGATGAGAATGTCCGGGACCCAGATGCTGTCTGTGGGGATGGACAACTTGGTGATGTTGTCAAAGTCCTCAGGGTTCCACTGGAGGAACTCATCAGTCCAGTACTAGGGGAGGAGCAGGAACGGTCACGGGCAGCCCCTCCGTCTGGGGAGGGGTCATCGGCAACTCAGGCCGACTTCACCGCTCAGCACCCAGGCAACAGGTGGGCATCTCCTTGGGGGAACCTGGGTGTCGGTGGCACCCAAATCACTCAGCAGTACCCGAGAGTCCCCCCACCTCTGTACTCACACACTCACTGCATGCAATAAGATGTAGGCAGGTGCAGCCTATCCCAGGAAGGGGTTGGGTCGTTTCTAATGTTTTGAATCCCCTGTCCTCCAACTGAGGGATCTTAGACAAATAGCTTCTTGGGTCTTGGTGTGCACATATATAAGTAGGGATAATGACATGCACCTTATAGGGTAGAGATGGTTATTGTTAAGTTTTTTTTTTTTTTTTT